TTCTATACAACTTTGTTAAATTTGTACAATGTTAGTTTTTCATGTTTGATAATATGACGAATTTTATTTCAGGAATACTCTGAGGAAGCGGTGTCCCATGTTCACAGATACCTCGTGAAGAACGAGGTTCCCGTTAATCTATTCGAGGTTGGTCCCGTCTAATCCTCTAATCCAATCTAATTAACAACGTATACGCAATTTCGGTCGAACTCGAAACTGATTCATTATTTCCAGCCGTATATCGAAGAGATTTTTAATCACTTAAGGAACGAGCCGTTCAAGAAGTTTCTAGAGAGGTATGTGTTTTACCAAACGAGAAAGGAAAGTGAAAAATCGAATCGGTGATCATCTTTCCTTACGTCTCTTCGGAATAATTGCTAAGAAACATCGTTCTGTATTTTCAGCGAGAAGTACACTCGTTTTTGTCAATGGAAGAACTTAGAGTTAAATATGCAGGTAAGCGGATGAGAATGGGTGGAATTTAGAACTGGAATTTGTCATCTGCGTGTTGGCTGTTTAGTAATGCATAAGGCAATTAGAATAATCATGACATATTAACTGGGAGTAGTGTACGTTGTATTAAATAGAAATGTCACGACCAATTTTACAATTAAAGTTGTGAACTCAAGTCTCAATAAAGGAATTTCTTTTTTTGCTTTATTTTATTAAATAAAAATATATATAATAATGTACATGATTTTTCGAGTAACTGCACAGAGATATCGCTTATTTTCAATTACATTGTTCTTGTGAAAAAATAGAATGTCTAGCAAGAACGTGATGTAGCGGTGATATTCGAAGTTAAAAATTTTTGGCACGGACCCTGCTGTTCCAGTTGACAATGAACGACTTCAGTGTGCATCGAATAATAGGCAGAGGCGGTTTCGGCGAGGTGTACGGTTGCCGGAAAGCGGACACGGGGAAAATGTACGCGATGAAGTGCCTCGACAAGAAGCGAATAAAAATGAAACAAGGCGAAATTTTAGCGCTCAACGAGAGGATAATGCTTTCGGCAGTCAGTACCGGAGTAAGCTTTTACTCAAGGATGTGTGACGTCCTAAGAATACAATAGAAAAACTTTAGATAAATTACGTATTCGGCATAGTTGGCACGTTCATCAAATTCCATGGAAAATGCTTCGCAATTTATCAAATTTTAACAAAATCCTACCAAGTCTATTTTTAACACAGCAGATTCTTCGAATATTTTTATTAACTTCTGAATTCATTCGTAAATCTTAATAATAACTTGTAGGATTTAAATGTTTCTCAATTCTTAAATTATTCTATTTTACTGAAGAATTATTTATCGTTGAAACATAACAAGTTAATAAGGATAGTTGGCTGAAGAGCACGCGTCGCTAACTATTCGCGGAATTTCTTCCAAGTTTTAAAGAGAGATGTTCAAACTCTCGACATCTACTTTGGTAGTAAAATATTAAAAGTACACGTTCCTCGCATATTTCACTACTTAACGTCTTTTAATAAAACGTCCTTCTTAAAAATTGAATTTTTATGCACAAATAAATATGACCGCATTTTCCACTGAACATAAAAAAGAAAGTACATCATTCGTTCTTATTAATTTTTTCATAATTGAAACATTTACTTCCGTTACGCAGTCGGAGCAATCGTATCAAATTTTCATTCAGAGGACGCTAAATCATTAAACATTGATGATTCCTAAAACTTTGGAGCATATTACCAAATTATAATTTAAATACTTAAAAATCTGAGAATGATATAAAATAAATGCTCCAAAATTTTTTGTGATAAATCAAGACAATTATTAAATATCGTTAAATAATAGGGAGGTTACAATCATGACTACGATTTCAGGTGGATTGTCCGTTCATAGTCTGTATGACGTACGCCTTCCAAACGCCTGATAAACTGTGCTTCATCCTGGACCTGATGAACGGCGGCGATCTCCACTATCACCTCGGTCAGCACGGAGTGTTCAACGAGCGCGAGATGAAAATCTACGCGGCGGAGGTGATACTTGGGCTGGAGCATATGCACCGCAGGTACATCGTCTACCGGGACTTGAAGCCCGCAAACATCCTCCTCGACGAACACGGCCACGTGAGGATATCGGATCTGGGACTGGCCTGTGATTTCTCGAAGAAGAAACCACACGCGAGTGTGTAAGTACCACTTCAGTTTGCATTACAATTGGAACTGCTCTGACCTCTTTGCAACTTGCATAAGAAGGAGACTAACAGAGATAATCTGGCGTAAGTAGCATAGCAAATTCATTCTCATTTTAATTTAGAAAGTGTCTGGTTCTTACGCAACGGATTTATTAAAACAATTTTTCGTTATGCTAATTAATTAGTACATTCATTATACAAAGTCGTCATCGTAATGAGTATTTCTTGTTAGCGAACGAGCTGGATTTCATTTCACAGGAAAGATTGTAGAGACTCAATTTTTCTTTTAAATTGACGTCGAAGGATCAAGCTTTCATTTGGCATAAGTGACATCACTGAAGAAAAATTATTCGTTGCACGTTGTGAAACTTTGATAAGTTTTTAATTTCAAACATATCCATAGATTTTAATATTCTCTATCACGTAAGATCAAATTAAACACTTCTAAAATGAAATAGAGGTTTCAAGATTTATAATTTAAAATAAAAACCATCGTCTTACAATAACTTGTTGAGTAATCATCTTCCAAACTTGAATAATTTTTGACACTTTCATGACACGATAATTTTTATTTTTACAAGATAACTCGATGTATGATATAATGAAAAGTGTTTTTTTTTTTTGTAGAGGAACGCACGGGTACATGGCGCCGGAAGTTCTCTCGAAAGGAGTAACCTACGACTCTAGTGCCGATTGGTTCTCGTTTGGTTGCATGTTGCATAAACTATTAAAAGGGCACAGTCCGTTTAGGCAACATAAAACTAAGGACAAACATGAAATAGATCATATGACGTTAACGAAGGTATGTCATTTCAATACTTATTTTAAATTCCTGCATTATGGTAAATATAATTAATCGAAGGACGTCCAAGGGTTGGTCAAGAAATGTCCATAAAGTTAATCATGTATTATCACACGTTTAATTCTCATCTCAATCTTTTACATCAAGTAAAGTCATATGCTTATTTTTTCTTCTGTGTTCAAGGTTTTAATACATAATCATGTACATTTTATTAGTAATTTTGTTCTAAGTGAAGATTGGTTTAAATAAGAGGGAGATATTTTTAGTTCTTCCGTGTAGACACGGTGAGACCCTCCCTTGGACTCTCAGTCGTTCCCTCGATCACGTTGGGCGTATCTAGGCTTAAGAAGCTGGTAAAAATAATTCCAGAACGTCGAGTTACCGGAAACGTTCTCGCGGGAGTTACGGTCGCTGCTGGAAGGTCTTCTGCAGCGAGACGTCAACAACAGGCTCGGGTGTCGCGGCGGGGGCGCAGACGAGTTAAAGGAACACCCGTTTTTCAGCGGTATCGATTGGCAACAAGTTTATCTCCAGAAATACACGCCGCCGCTTATACCGCCGCGCGGCGAAGTGAACGCCGCGGACGCCTTTGATATCGGCTCCTTTGACGAGGAGGACACCAAGGGCATCAAACTGACGGACGCGGATCAAGATCTGTACAAAGATTTCCCTCTGACCATCTCGGAGAGATGGCAGGCCGAGGTGGCCGAGACTGTGTTCGAGACAATCAATATCGAGACGGATAAGGTACAACTCTTTCCTTAGATTCTGAGTAATTGTACGATTCGTGACACGATAAGTATGACGTGTTTATTGGTCGCGATGTTACAATTATCCACCGCTCGCCAAATTTTTTGCAAACGGCTAATTTAATTGAATGATTGTATAAGAAAATGAATAATACAAAAGATGTGAAGTTCTCCGAATAAACATTTTTATGCTCTTTTTAAATTCTGGCTATTCAGATAAACGATTTAAACAGAACGAAAAATTCGACTCTCCCTTGTAGGTATGTCTCCTCTCTTAAATATGTGTTTATCTTGTAGACAGAGAAAAAAAAGAAAGCTAAGCAGAAGCAGGGCTTCGATGCTGACGAAAAAGGTAAACAGGCCTCAAACATAAGAAGTAGCTTTCTACTGGAAAAAATTGATCGAATATTATTTGTTACAGGATCGGACTGCATTTTACATGGTTACATTAAGAAATTAGGCGGTCCCTTTGCGAGTGCGTGGCAGACGCGTTACGCGAAACTCTATCCGAATAGATTAGAATTGCATCCCGAGTCTACCACGAAGCCTGAACTGGTTTTTCTTGACCAGGTCGGTATAATAATTAAGTAAATCAATATTACAGGATGCGACAAAATGAATGCAACTGAATTCAATTTTTCCTAAAATTGTAATCGTAAATCCTTCCTTTATAATCGTAAGACAATTCTAAACAGATGAATCTGTTTCTAGGTTGAAGAAGTCAGTGCGGATCTGCAGCACGTGAAAGGGGAACAGTGTATTGTAGTGCGTATGAGAGACGCGAAGATAGTACTTACAAATCCTGTAAGTGAGACACAATTACAGTTTTTTAGTACTATTCATAATAACGTAGATACATACGACCAAAATAAGATAAGTGGTGTTCATGATTCCATTTCTTTCTTCCTCTTTTAGGATGAAATTAGTTTAAAGGAGTGGGCACAATCGTTGAGATCCGCGCACAAATGTTCGATGGAGATGCTTGGTAACATGGCGAAGAAGGCTGGTAAGATCTACGGGACTGAACGGGACGCGGTGATTCCAGCAATGCAACGCTCGACGAACGGCAACTAGCCCATTGTTAATACCTGCACGCCGTCGTCGTACTCCAGTCCCACTGCCCCCAAGCAGCAGCAGCAGCAGCAGCAACTTTTTTTATACTGAAGAATTAAAAGAGAAAGGGACCTCTGCTGTAATGCGAGTTTCCAGCGAGAATAAAAGAAATCGGGTTGACCGGCGGGGAAGTTGAAACTCTTCCCGCGGAACCAGAAGTATCCAAGTTTCCAGGAATAGCTCCAAAGAAAAGAAATAAGAAATAATTTAAAAAAAACACAGAAACTCCCCTTTGAAACGGCGGGTAGCGTCACGCTGTATAGAGACTCTAGGAAGTAGTGTCGTACGAATCGTCACGTCGTTATATTTGTACGTTAGATGTATGTGCAATGTGGCGTAGGAACTAGCGACTGAACAGTACCCATCGACACCCGCGCGGTCGGTGCACGCGCGTGTGCACCGTCGTGCGACCAGATCCACACGAGATACACAGACACGTACGCAAGCACACGTTTACACACCTAAACACAGAATTAGACTGCGGATGTTCACGTGTTTACGGGAGAATTCGAACGTGCACGCGAACAAGGATGCGAACAGCATAACGTATACGAAGTATATCGGAGGTACACGCGAAAACAAATTTACCATTTTGAGTTTTTACAACGATTTTCGACGGTGAACATCCGTAGACTACGCGTAATAAAAGGAACACGAAAAATGCAACCGGTAGTGTGTTATTGTTATATCAAATACGAAGTACGCCTGAAAGGGAAATCCTGATTATACCTTCTTCTACACCCGTTCTATACCGCTCTTATACTTAATTTATTTACTAATGCAGGACGATTTTATATTGTCGTTACGTGAACGGTAACACAGAACACGCGCGCGAAATTCGTTTTATTTATTGTGTTGAAGGAAGCGAGAGGCAAGCAGGAGGAAAATAACTGAAAAAAGAAATTGAGGAGAGCTCGAACAGTTTGTACAATTGTCGGTAGCCGACCGAAGAATAGCTGTAATAAAGAGAAGAAAAAAAAAAGAAAATACACTGTGTACGCTCGAGTGCATACCATGCGAGTTCGCTCCGGCAATAAAATTGTGCGACGAACGTAGATCTTGTCTACATTTTCTTCATTCCTCAGCAGGGACCTGGTTTCATGTTCCTCAAGTTATTCAGATGCCTCGAACGATTCCAGAAATCAACCCCTACCAAGTGCACCCCACGTATAGAAGGAGGACCAACGTACTTATAGGGTGTCCCAAAACTAACATTGCGCTCACGAAAATTGGAGGTTCCTGAGGTGATTTTAAACAGTATTTTCCTTCGTTAAAATGTCCGAGGCGTAGTGTTTGAATTATTAATGAAAAACATTGCGCAACTACCACTTTGGATGGTTCCGCGCTCGGAACAAGAACGAAGCATTAAAGAAGAGTTACGTGCAAAAACGACTAACAAATTAGTATAAATAGTTAAATACTGGGAAAAAGAAAGCAGTTAGTGGTTAATTAAGTTCACTGAATAAGTGTGACATATTCAATGAAATAATTGACAATTTTATAAATTACAGAATAAGTAAAATTATAAAAAATGGAATATGAATTACAATTAGACTTACTCATTCACTGTACAGCCAACTAATTTTATTTTGGCCGCACGTTGACTGCTAATGCGATGTATGTACGCTTGTCTGTGTTTGTTTTCACCCAAAATGTAATGAATTTGGGTATACGTCGGGAGGAATACATTTTTTAGGACTGTTACACACCAAACTTTTGAGTATCTCATTTGGCCAATTAGAATATCTTCTTTTTACAATAAGATCTTCCCAAAGTAAGAGAAGAACACAAGATATATGTTGAAGAATCGATAAACAACAATTTATTACAGAATAGACGAATTACAAGTAAATAAACTTGAACGAATTTCAATTCAATTCACAAAAAAATATCAGTCGTGAGTTTTTTAAATTAGTTCTTTATCTGTGTTAACATCTGTAGTAAAATATTTAAACTCAGGTTTCTACAGCGCATCGAGGAGAATCTCCTCAATGATATCTCATGAGCCTCTTACCCTTAGATGGAAACTTCAAATATGATAAAAATCGAATTTTAATAAATCACATAAAGTAACGTGAGGTAAGTAGCGTTATGACATTTAAATGAATTTTATTACATCCGTTATAAATTTTCAATTGTTATAATAATTTATTTCACCT